ATTAATTAACCTTCAAGGAAGAATATTAAAGATGATAAGTCCTACTATAACTAATGTCAAGATGTTAACTAATTGTCATCTTAGTAACACTCCCCAACATTAATATATAGAGGAAGAAAATAATAAATACTATTATAACTAATGTCGAGATGTTAACTAATTAATTGTCATCTTAGCAACACTCCCCGGCCAACATTAATATATAGATAGATTAAGGGAAGAATTAATATTCAAGAGAAGAAGTTAAGAAAATAACTAACAACTTTAATAATCAACGAGCTTCAAGAGCAACACCAAGAAAATGGAAGTTTAGCTCCTCATTTGGAGACAAACAAAGCTAGAAAAATATAAAGAAATGTTATTCTAAACTGAGCTTAAAAGTATGGAAGAAGGGAAGATTATTTGTGAAGGAAAAGTGTGCTATTTATAGGTGTTTTTCAACACCTTGGGCCGGGTACCCGACCGGGTCAAGTACCTACCCGACCAGGTCTGGTCAAAATCAGAATTGAGTAGCTAGACATTTCGCTATTAGTTGTACTACTCCTTTAGGCTTCAGTTTAATGGTGTTTTTTTTAATAAAATATGAATCAATACGTACGTTAGGTGTGTTATACATTTTATCCTTTTTTTAAGGAGAAATCTGCTTATATTAATATCATTAGGATTCGGATCGTTACATCAAACTCCAAGAGACCAACACTGACAACAACTATCTTTAACCAACTATCACCATTATCAACCCTACGGCTACTTAGAAACGATCACCCTTGAAAGAGCAATATGAATCGCTAATCATCAAACGGGTGTGACACAACAATCACTATCCATATAGATCCTTCTAACGACATAATACCTAGCAGAATTGTCAATCATTATTGTAGACCTAAAATTAGAGACATCAACAAAAAAAGAGAAACGTAAACAAACGTAACGTGAAAATAAAACCATAAGAAATAAAATAACAGATAAAACCAAACTCTTTCACATCAGTTTTCCTTACACATCATCTTCCAAGTCCAGACACCTTGAACGCTCCAAGGCGGTGGTTCAGAAAGGGGGCGGGCCATCGATCTGTCTTCTCCTTTGTTCAGACCTTTACGGGTCACCGTCTGCTCGGCATGGCAATGAGTCAGGGTACGACGGGTAATGCAAGACCCGGACCTGCTCCGTGACTTCACTAGGTGGACCCGCCCCGCCCCGCGACCCGCACGGGTCCAAACTTGTTTCGCCATGACCCGCCCCATGCGGGCCGGGTCTGCCCCGCCCTGCCCCGCCCTTCCCCGCCGTAACCTAATTAGCTAGTATGAAATTTTATTTAATATATGTAAAGTTGTTACCAATTGAATCAACATGAAATGTAACTCTAAATAATTATTAAACAATAATATATTAAATGAAAGTCACAATACGCAAAAAATTTCAAAAAACAAGTACATAAACTTGTATAGTTAATCTATTTACATTAATTAAAATGCTATATATAAAAAGACATTATAAATGAATAAACTAAAGTGTATATATGTAAAGAAAGCGGGAGGGACCTAGCTAGCCGCGGCTAGGGTTGCTTTGGTCGCGTAGGGCTTCTTGCGCAGTTTTGTTTCTACGGCAAATTTTCACGACAAGCATCGGCGGCAAGAGGAAGAAACTACAGACGCAAGCCTCTCGTTTTCTACAGTACTCAGTGCAATCTTGAAGATTCTTCTCAAGGCAGCGGCTCGGCTACCGACATAACGTGAGGTCTGAACTCGTTTTTGGCAAAACGGAATGGAGATCGGGCATAACAAGGAAGATGTTGAAGCGTTAGCACAGGCGTACGGACTGTTGGAGATGGAAGAGGAAGATGAATTCCTAATTGTTGAGCCTATGGCACAAAACTCTTCCAAGCACAATCCGACCCTGGTTGGAACAATTACGTCAGAAAAGTCAGTACGTTTCACTCAATTTAGAGATATTATGGCGTCTGTGTGGAAACCTGAAAAGGTGTTACCATAACTGAAATCGGCCCTAGGAGATATGTGTTTCAATTCTATAATGAAGAGGATATGAACAGGGTAGCAGATGAGGGACCATCGCTTTTCGATCAGAACTTAATTGTTATGAGTAGGCTTAAAGAAGGTGATATTCCTATGTCAGTCCCACTGAACAAAGCAGAGTTCTGGATTCAAGTTCATGATATTCCAGTGGGTTATTTCACCATAGACAGTGCGGAACGCATTGGGAATTTTTTGGGAATTTTTAAAAAATTGGATGAAAACAATTTCTGTGGGAGGTGGGAATCCTTTATGAGGATTCAAGTCCGAATTGATCTGGGGAAACCCCTGAAAAGGAAACTATTCCTCCAAAAAGAGGAAGGGGTCAATTTCTATGTCAGGTTTTGCTATGAGAAACTGCCTAGTTTCTGTTTTTTGTGTGGCATAATAGGTCATACTGAGAGCCATTGTCCCCGTGGAAGGAGGAATTACGAGCTAATTACCAGAGAAAGGCCTTTCGGCCCTTGGCTTAGGGCAGCAAAAGAGGAAAAGCAATGGAAGGAGAATAAATGGCTCGTCCCTGCAGGGAAAGGAATCATCTCGAACAGCCAGTCTAACAACAGAAATAGTGAAGAGGGCAGGCGAGCAGGCATTTTGGAAGGCGGGTCCTCGCAAAAAGAGAGAGGGAACCTCGAGCAAAAGCACAGACGTGTAGAGGAGTCAGAAGATTACTAGTCTGGGGAGGAGATGGAGCTTATGCATACCAGGGAAAAAATGGGGAGGAGGCGAGCTACAAGTTTGTAGCTCGCCAGACACAGATCTGACAGCTCCTCTACCACTACAGGTGGAAATAAATAAGGCAGAAGGCCATGAAGTTTTTTATTATTTTTACGCTCTTTTCATTTCGGTTGATCAATTTGTTTTTGTTTTCAGTTTGAACTTTAGAGGTAGGTTGTCGTTTTTGGCCGTTAAAAGCATCGAAGCTCTCACATAGTTAGCGATAGGGGTGGGCAAAAGACCCCGTCCCGTTGGTCCGTTCCGGAACGTTCCGGTTCCGTTCCGAAATTGTCCCGTTAAATTCGGGACAAACTATTTTTGTCCCGTTCCGGTCCCGAACCGTCTCAGATTAAAACAAAACGGGACCGGGACAAATAAAATATGTCCTGTTCCATCCCGTTGTTCGGAATTCAAAATATTATATAGTTGTTGGTTAGTGAGTCTACCATCAATTCAAATACTAATGAATATTAATTAGGTCATATTAGTTATCTAATATGTAAAACCCCTAAAAGAGTCTAAATTATATCAAGTATGAACTATCTTCTACATACTAAAAAGAAACTCACATATACTTCACATGTTTCACTTCTAATAATATTGTTTGTCTTTTTATTTATTTTTGTAGTTTCTTAGTAGTATTGTGTTTGTTGGAGTTATTGTTGTTATTACGGTTTGTTTCGTGCAACTATCCTATTAATCTACTATATTTTGTGTTGCATTTATCGTAAATTTTTGTATGTGTTGCATTTTTAGTGTTGTAGTTTTGTCATGAAGTTTCTTTTTGGAGCTGTATTTTTTTGCTCCAATTTTTTGGGATGTCCCGAACCGTCCCGTTCTATTCCGGTACCGATTTAAAAGGGACAATAGCGGGACAACATCCTGTCCCGTCCCGTTCTGTCCCGTTATCCTAAATCGGGTTCGGGACCGGGATAGTCTAATTCTCGTCCCGTTCCGTCCCGTGCCCACCCCTAGTTAGCAAATAGTTTCTCTCTTTTCAGGGTGGTCTATTTTATGTCTAGTCAGAGAGTGGGAGGGCCTTTTGGCTATGCGGAGCCTCTTTGGGAGGTTTGGCGTTGTACGAGTGGCTTATTCTTGTTAAGTTTGATTGCTATAATATAATCAATTTCCTTTAAAAAAAGACATTGATAATTCATCGTTCATCTCATTCAAATTTAAATGTTAATATATTATAATTCCAAAGAACTTATGATTTATTACATACACCAATATATGTATGTAGAAGTATGTTTGTAGTATAATTTTTTTAAAAAAATTATGTATACTTGTATATTGACTATTGAGTATTGAGCAAGGCGGGGCGGGGCGGCACAGGTCAATACTAATACCCGGACCTGTCCCAGATATGGGCGGGGCGGGGAGGATCCGTCTCATTTGCAAGATGGGGCGGACCGGACCCGTCCAAAATTTCTCGGGCCAGGGCGGGTCATTGTGGGCCGGGTTTTTTTTGACATGCCTAGTCATCCGTGCCGCCTCCTAATATGTCTTCGCCCGTGATAATCTGCGGATTGTGGCCTTGATCCACCAACTCCCTATTGGACGAACGCAAAAAGCTTCAACGCACGCTGTCTCCTTGAAATCCATGAAGACCCAACCCCATCCTGCTTGTATATCTCACCCTTCCCTGCGTTGATAATCATCGAAGCACAAGAAGAGAAAAAAACACTCACACGATCGGCGGCAATATGTGGGAAAACAAAACCCTACGTATAGAGAGAATTAGGGTTCGGGTGGCCCTGAATTTTGTCACATACATTTTATCCTTAAAGTATGTGAATTTTTCATAATTTTCTGGAAAAATCATACGTGAATTATACATTGGAGTGTATAAGTGTATTATACGTGGATCATATGCCAATAAACAAAAGAAAGGTTTTAACATGTAAGAACCTCAAAAGAAAAAACCAGGAAAAGTTAATTAAAAGTATAATTTTAAAAGAGAAAGGTGAAAAAAAAGTTAATGAAAAAGAAGTGAGATAAAAAACAGAAACGGCTGTAGACTAATCCCTCAACATAAGAACTGCTTTTAATAGAAGTGCTGCTTCATGAGTTTCGTGAATGACGGGGGGGGGGGGGGGGGGGGGGGGGGGTACGCTAAGGTAGCGTTTTCCTCGCTGTCACTGCCGACCTTGCTTGCTCGCTCGCGTGACCTGGCCCATATATGTATATGTATATCTCTGCAGACCTCATCGGATCCTCATAATATAATAATAATCGGTTTTAGTTGCTGTTGACTTGATTCCAGCTCCGGCGCTAAATAACTTTAAACTATCATATCGGCGGAAAATGAATAGCGCAGTCGTGTACCCGGAGTTGGCGAGGGCTGCCCCGATGGGTGGCCGTCCGGGCAGGGTCAGGATGAACCGCGTTCAGGGCATGCCTGCTACTCTCGCCGGCCTCGTCCTCCGCCTCTACCAGTTTGCCTTCTCCGCCATTGCTGCCTTCCTCATCTGCTACACCGCCGGTTTCCCCTCCGCTGCTTCTTTCCGGTACCCGCCCTATACCTCTTCTTCTTCTTCTGAACTACTCGTCTACATGTACTTTTTGTTTACTTACTTTTTGTTTGAAATAAGTTTTTGTTGGTAACCAACAGCGCAAGATGTTAGAGTAAAGGAAGCAAATTAGAGCCAAATGCAAAAAGTCGGTAGTTGTTTGATTCGGTTTCCCTTTTATCCTTTCAAAATATGATTTTTTTTTTAAATTTTACTCCTATTCGTTAATCATTAAGATTAATTCTATTTAATTCAGTTTATAAAAGTCATATGTGTCATTTGTATCTCATACAAGGTATAGATTCATGAACATTTTTTCGAACTAAATAAAAATGTAAATTAAGAATATACTTTGTAGCTTTTCTGTTCTTTAATTCTTGCAACATTACGACTTTTGAACTATTCACTTTGACCATGATTTTCTACTTATTTACATAATCAAATTATTTCGTATAAAATGTTATTGAATTCCTAATTTTCAAAATATCAACTTTTTATAATGTTTACTAATACATAATTAAATATAATTACAATCAAAATTGTGTGTTGTGAAACGTGAAAGTCAAAGTGTTGCAAGGATTAAAGAAAGGAGGATAGTATATACTTTAAGGTGTAGGATTTATTTTCAAGTTATACCGTCAAGAATTAAAAGAGTTGTTAAATAAAAAAGAATGAATTAACCTACGCAACTTTTACAAACAAAACTTCTTTAACTTTTTATAGATATTATTTAATCTCATTTTACACTATGTTCCAAAAAACAGAAAAAAGATGTGTTCTTTCACGTATAGTTCAAGATATATATATATATATATATATATATATATATATATATATATATATATATATATATATATATATATATATATATATATATATATATTTAATTCTTCTTTACTTTTAATTATCTTTTTCTGGTGTGTAACTTTTTATATGTTAACGCTAGGTTTGATCCCTCCCCCAATTTGTATCGTTTTGAGTCAAATGACAACATTTTTGTAAAACACTTTTAAAAAGCTGAAACATGACCAATATAACTCAAATCAGTCAAACCATGATTTCATGTTTCGAAATTGATATCCGAACAAAATATACGTTTTCATTTCATTTTCTTGAGCCGAAACTGAACTGAAAAACCAAACTCACCGTACCCATAAAGAAAGTGAAAAAGTCGATTTGATCTTATATATATGAAGTTTTTAATTTTGTTAACAACTTGAAATGTAAGTTAGTGAAGATAGGTTAGCTTTCGATCAATTAAGGATATGAAAGATGAAAACAATCATCCAAATAATTGAAAACTATGAATTATTAAAGATGAAAATGTCATCCAAATTATTGATTAATATCAATTAAAGACCTAATAGAATTTAGATTGTATTTCTTTCATTTTTATGTATTTTATTGCTAAATTTTGATGATTTTATCTTCGCAAAAGTTTATTAATGTAATAAAGTTAAAAAATACTCAAAATGTTTATAATTTGAAGGAAAAAAAATCATGATGTTTTCAGTCCTACTTTGATAATTTTCACTCATTTAGGTCATATATTGAATGTTTTCATCTTTCACATTCTAAATGAACCAAAAGCTGAACAACAATAACTCACCCATAAAGAAAATGAAAAATCAATTTCATCTTATATGTAGTATGATATTTGTAATTCTTTAAAGGTTACCATTCATAATATTTTTGTTTAATTAGTTATTAATAGTTGTGCAAATAATAATTCAAGGGCATAATTATTTCAATATATAGTGCAAGTTTTTGTGGCTGGATATATAATGCAAGTATACAAATTAAATTTACTCTGATAAAAAAAATCGTAAGAGCATCTCCATTCGCGATCCTTACAAAGAAACCCCTAGTTATATTCTTTATTGCATCTCCAATAATCAAATCAGGTTAAGCTTAACCAAAAGACCAGAATGTCTCATGTGTTAATTAAGTAGCAAGTTTAATAGGCAGGAACGGGTTTTTGACATACAGTTCCATTTACATATAAAAAGACCTCTTCCCATGCAAAGTGCGAAGATATGCACTTTTTCATGTTTCGCTTACATTTTTTCGTGTTTCTGTTGCACTTTTTCGCGGGTGGCGAAAAATTATGGTTTATTTATGAAATTACCACCGCGATTTTGGTCAAATTTGGTGCATTTTTGGCTCATTTTGAACCATTAGATGTGAAAATGAATGCACAAGATTCATTCCCGACCACTTTGCATGAGAAGAACTCTTTGTATATGAACAATATTCTCTCTCTCTATACACACACACGCACACACACAAATATACCCCTGAAGCATATATTGAAGTGCATATATACCCCTTAACTTTTAAAAAGTGCAAAAATACCTCTTATGTTCTTATAAAGGAGCATATTTATCCTTATGGACTTTAAATATATAAAATAATTTCAAAAAACACCAAAAGTAAATTATAAATTTAAAAATAAAGATTTATTATCATATTAAAATATTAACTCTTTAATTTTAAATTATTATTTTTCCGTTGTAAATGAAGCACTTTCAAATTAATAAATATTAATTCTAGTCTTGTTGCGAAATTTTGAACCCATTGTTGCAGTTTTTTGAAATAGCACTTTCATTGCCCTTAATAAAATTAAATTCACTATTTTGTAATCTTTGACTATTTATCATCATACAAAATATACACTTTTGTAGTGCAAAGAATGCAAAAAATTACTCCGTAATATATTTTTACATTGCAACACATATGTTAACACTTTTTCAAAAGAATCTAAAATATATAGTAAAGTTTTGAACTAATATTTTGTACTAACAATATTAAATGGTGATATAAAAACAATAAAAGGAAGAATTGAACACAAGTACATTTTTTAAAAATTTTAGTTTTTAATTTTCGAATTTATAATTTATTTTTAGTATTTTTTGAAATTTATTTTATCCATTTAAAATCAATAAAGATAAATGTGCTCCTCTACAAGAACATGAGAGGTATTTATGCACCTATTAAAATTGAGGGGTATATATGCAATTCCATATGTACTTCAGGGGTATATTTGTGAAAAATAGAATATGGGTATATTTGTTCTCACACTCATAATACATGCGTATATTTGTACATTTTCCGTACTCCATTTGATAAAACTCACTCACTTGTTCGAATTTGACTAACGCATATAAGTAATATTGAAGTTCTATTCTGAAAATGTTTGATATACTCCAACATTTTTAAGTTTTGCAACACCAAAGAGACAATAAAATGCATAAATAGTGGCATATTTGATATTTGTACGTAGTACTCCATTGAATAAGACTCACTTATTCTTTCGAATTTGACTAGCACATACAAGTGCACGGTGCACATGTGGCATGTGAGATAACCACATAAATATTATAAATAAATTATCTATCTTTTTATTTAAATGATTTTATACAATTTTGGTAAGTTTTTCTCTGCAATGTCAAGGAGACCGTCTAGATGTAGACATTGTAGTTGACATTGTTAAAAAGAATTACCAAAATTGATTAACATCATTCAAATAAGGAGAGAGATAATTTATTTACCAATATTTATGTGGTCATCTTTCATGCTACATGTACATCGTGCACATTTTAGGATTGTAGATGCTCTAATATCGAAGTTCCATTCTGAAAATGTTTGATATACTCCGACATTTTCAAGTTTCACAACACCTACGAGGCAATTAAATGCATAAATAGTGGCATAACAAATATTATCGTATGATGTTTTAATTGGAATTAATTTCACTTTTGGTCATACGAGTTTTATGTCATTTCCACATTTAGTCCACATCTTTCATTTTGTTCACTTTTGGTACTTGACTAATGTTTCTTGATCATTTATTGTCATTTCTTCAACGATTTTAACCACCAGAATTATTGCCGGAAGGACCATATATTGGATTGGAATTTTTTATATGTTCTTGTAGAATGAGTGTGATACTCGTAGAATCAAAAGTAGAATTTATTCTTTTTATTGGATTGGAATTTTTTATATGTTCTGATCTGATTAGATTTGTTCAAGTCGGGTCTAGTCTGATCTGATCTATCATAGTATAGTTTTGTCACATATTATATGGTCTATTTAAATATAGCTTGGCCTGATCTGGTCCGGGACTAAAACCAGTCTAATAAAATACACCCTAAAGATGTTTTAATTGAATTTGTTAGAATCCTAAATCAGACCAGACATAAACACTTCAGATCGCATCAGACCTTATAAATGTAAATATCTGACATTGAATAACTCAATATTTCGTTTCATGTGCATCAATAATCTATCCACATAGTTGAAGATCGTAATAAATAACCTTTAATTTAATTTCGTTTATTCATTCTTGTGCGCTAGATTCCTCCTTGTCGCAGTTATCTTACATGGATTGTGGAGCTTGTCGCTCGCTATCGTCGATGTATATGGCCTTTTGATGATAAGAACCTTCCGAAATGTTCAATTTGTCTACACAATCGTACTTGTTGATGCGGTAAGGAGTACAGTGGTGCATATATTTTATCAACACATTTCTAAATGTGATGTGCATAGTTTTATGAACTTTTTTGTTTAAATAGCATAACTTTCATGTAACACTATATCTTCTCATCTACAGAATTAATAATTTAAGATCTAAAATTTGCATAATATAGCTTCTATCGTATATATACGTTTTTTGAATTTTTGAATAGAAAACCCCATTTTGGTGCTTTATTTTGATAAAAATTGTCATTAAATGATATATATTCAAATTAGTTTTACATACCTTTCTGATTATAAGATCTATTTCTATAATCATCACAAGATTTTTTAGAGTTTATTAGGATGGCTTGGTTATTAGATGGATGTTAGATTTCTACTAAAGATAAACCATCAACAATTAAATGAATATGAGAATACATGTATAAAGTTTAATTAGTATCGGCTTGTGATAAATTTATTAAATTTATAAATTTTAATAGTGTTTACTTCTATGTAGGTGATATCTAGTGGGACATTTGCTGCTGCTTGCTCATGTTCTAGTGTTACAGCTCTCATGATTATTGACCCAAAGAAATGTGATGCCCACCATTGTAAAACCTTTATAGTAGCAGCGGTGTTAGCATTTTTTGGATGGCTTTTTGCATTACCATCTTTTTTCATTAACTTCTGGTCTCTTGCATCTCGTTGATGTGTATATGTTTGCATTTCCGTCTTTAACTGATTGTCCATTCAATTTTGGCACATTCATCTTATGGTGTTAAATTAAGAGAGATCCGATTAATTAATATATACATATATTTCTCTACTATTTTTTCTTTTTCCCCAACGTACATGCAAAAGTTTTATGTATTTTCAAACAGGCAGACATTATTTGAACTTAAGATGAGCAATCTATTACTCTAGCTCATCTCATTTAATATTTCTTGTTTTGGTATATTCTGTATTATTTAATGTTTCTAGTTGCACACTACTTGCACATAACTTACACATGACTTGCACCAACTTTTATTGGGAAAGACCTTTGAACTATCATCAATTTAGGTTGAAGAAGGTTAATTATAATAGTCAAAACTTTAATAATAGAACTTAATTTGAAATGACATTGACCCACATCATAAATTGCATGGTTTTATTCTTTATAATCAATATTTTGCTAAAAATATAATGATACCTTTACAGAAATAACAATATAATTAATGTTATGTACTTGAGGTAATCTAATAAATACATGTATATTATGTGGTATATATCATTGAGATTAAATTAGCGTGTACATTATTTATCTCGATCGTCAAAGTATTTTACCAAAATTGGTGGTTGCAAAGTCAAATATGACACCGCTAATCGACTGATTTATTGTCTCATTTTGATTCTCTCAAATTGGCTTATAGTGTTTCTGATTTAAGAATGTCTGCTTTAATTAGGGAGTTTTTCATCTTGGATTCTCTCATCTTGCTTTAATTATTTAGTGTATGCTCATAATCACCCTTCCAGGATGAAGTATTCCTAATTTGTTTCGTGTATTCAAATCGGTTTGTGTCGGTTTTAGCGCGTTTTGATCATTTTTGTCGGGGTTTTCCGGTTTGATCAGTTAATTTATCTGTATAACTAAATATTTCATTTCATGTGCATCAATAATTAATCTGCATGATTGAATATTATACGTAGTAATAAACAATCTTTCCATTATTCATTTATTGTGCATTAGATTCCTCTTTGTCGCAGTTATCATACATGGATTGTGGAACTTCCGAACTTGTCGCTTGCTATCATCGATGTATATGGGCTTTTGATGATAAGAACCTTCTGAAATGTTCGATTTGTCTACACAATTGTGCTTGTTGATGCGGTAAGGGGTGGTGCATATATTTTATTAACACCTGCATGAAACACATGCCTAAATTAAATGTGGTGTGCCTGCATAGTTTGATGAATTTTTTTGTTTAGATAGCATAAATTTCATATAACACTATATCTTCATTCTCTTCTCATCTACAGAATAATTAATTAAGATCTAAAATTGGGATAATATAGCTTCTACCGTATATATACGTTCTTTAGTTTTTTTTAATAAAAAGCTCCATTTTAGTGCTTGATTTTGAGACAAAATAACAGAAATTATATGATACTATGTATATATTTTCAAATTAATTTTTACATACTCTTCAGATTATAAGATCTATTTTTATATTTATCACAAGAGTTTTAAGCATTTAAGACCCCTAGATGCTTAGACGGGTGTTAGGTTTCTACTATAGATAAACCATCAGCAATTAAATGAATACGAGAATACATGAATAAAGTGTAGTGTCGGCGTGTGATAAATTTATTAAATCTATAAATTTTAATATTACATATTTACTTTTGTTAAGGTGATATCTAGTGGGACATTTGTTGTTGCTTACTCATGTTCTAGTGTTACACCTCTCATGAACATTGACAAAAAAATATGTGATGCCCACCATTGTAAAACATTTATAGTAGCAGCAGTTTTTGGCATTTTTGGGTGGCTTTTTACATTGTCATCTTTCTTCATTAACTTCTGGTCTCTTGCATCTCGTTGATGTGGACATGTTCACATTTCCGCCTTTAACTAATTGTCCATTCAATTCTGGCACATCAATTCATTCTATGATGTTGGAACAAGAAAGATCTTGATCAATTAATATCATTGTTCTAAAACTGGTTAGGCGTTAGTCGGGCGGTTGAGGGGCACCTAACGCCTAGGCGGACGACTAGGTCAATTTTTTGGCCGACTAGGCCTATTAGTGTTCCTCAGTTAGGGCCGATTAGGCCGCCTAGGCCGATTAATCGGTCCGACTAGGCCGATATTTAGAACATTGATTAATATATACATATACTACGGGTATTTGACTAGTGCGGATGAACGTCCCGAAGGCTCCCTCAGCCCCGGAGGCAAGAAAAAGATGTACATCAATGTGATCTTCCACGGAGCAGAGAATGGAGACACCCCGGCAGAACGAAAAAAATTTGAGCGACACTTTATGTGGGTTCCATGCATATCCGCACTCCCCCCGAAGAGGAACAAAATAGAGGCCATCACCTTTGGGCTGGCCGATCTGCCCAGCTCGCTACGACCACACCGAGACGAGTTGGTCATCAACATGGACATCAAGGGCGCCATTGTGTGGTGGGTCCTGGTAGACACGGGAGAAACGTCAATGTCCTGTACTGGGACGTATTCGAAAGAATGCACCTGAGCAAGGCCGAGTTGACCCCTATACGGACCCCCTTGGCAGGCTTCATCGGGGACTGCATCGACTCAGAGGGAACCATCACCTTGTCGGTTCGGATAATTGAAAAAATTTCAAGAACCGCTGGTTCCATTTAACGGCTAGGTTCGGTTCGTAAACCTAATCTCGAAATAGGAACCGGACCGGTTCGGTTCGAGTTCTCGGTTCTTTATATTTTGTAAAAAAAAATCGGCTATGCTAACAAAGTGTTGAGGTTTATTCCGTCAATCCAAAGGCCCAATGCGTATTCTTGGATCTCGGGTGGAAGGTTTTGAGGAGTTGGATGATTAAACAAGCAAGAGAAGAGATATTTCAGTCGTAATAAATAGTCGTTTCATATTAAGCCTTGAGGTCGTTCGTCCAACTGTATGCTAAGAGCTGATTACAAATATTATATGCTAGAGTGCTAAGTTTTCAACCCTTTACAATAAAATAAATGCCACTATTTATACTAATAAGGGGTAGGTGAGGTTGCTGATGTGGCGTGCTATGGATGACTAGCTCCCAACCACCAAATCTACGCATTTAATGATGTTCCGACCAATATCTTGGTTTCCTGCTGATGGATGGTCTACCCGGGGGTATATATCCGAAGGGTTATTGCGGGGATAACTTAGAGAGAAGTCAGAGTAAGCAAGTAAGTGTAGAGAGAGAGTGTATTTGGTATGAATGTCGTGGTTACAAATGGGGAAATGGGGTGCTATTTATAGTAGCAATAAATGCCGGACAGGGACACGTGTCAGGCGCTCATTGGCCGAGGGGTCACCTCAACTGGTTGGCGCTGGCAGCCGCATGTGGCCGCATTTAATGCGGTTGTTGGATGGGACGTCTGTGCAGGGTACGGTGATCTGTACGCATGTGAGGCGGATATCTTGTCGAGTAAGATGCCTTCGGCTGTAGAGCAGTAGTCGAGGGCTCCTCCGATTGATGGCATCCTGGCGCCGAGGGCTGACAGTGCCGAGGGCTACTGTTTTCGCCGTTTTCTCCCAGTTTCTTAATTTGCTTGAGAAACTCGTTCTGTGAGAGTTTAGAGCCTTCGGCCAGGGGGGCGAAGGCACCCCTGGCGCGTAGTGCGGGCTGCTTGGTACTCTGGGCGCTGTGATTCGGGCCTGGTGGGCCTCCTGGGCGTGTTGGGCCTTCATTGGTGTAGTAGGAGTCTGTGGGTCGGGGTTCCCGGGCCATATACTCCATTAGGAGTCCCTCACTCCTTTTGCCGAAAGGTACTTGAGGGAAAAGGAGTAATTTGTGCTTGCCCTTTGATGTTGTCCTGTCGTGATCTCTGAAGTTGGTGAGGAGTTGTTGCTTTTATGTCCCTGCCGAAGGCAGCCCCTCAGTTACCCACATGTCGGGACTTGAGGGCTTGCTTTGTCGTTTGTTGGAATTTCACTAATTTTGTAATTTAATGATTTTCCCGAGGGGGTCCTCCAGTCCCCCACTCCTTGAGGCACTTGTAAAGTGGTGAAAAGGAGTAGAGTAGTTGCGTTGCTGTTTGTGGGCCGAAGGCTGACGCTTTTCGTTTCATTTTGGGGGGATGCCTCGTTAAAAACCTCATTAGGAAAAACCCTGGGGGAAAAAATCCTAATGAGGGAAAAAGAGTGCAACGAATTCCCCCAATGATGAATCGAAAATGTGAAACCTTGGTCAAAAATGGAGAATAACGGTAATGCCGAAGGCTCTTCCTTTTCTGAGGGCTCATGTGTTGATTAGCCGAAGGCTTGCTGTTGATGTCCTGGTGGCGCCGAAGGGGAGTCCCCCAATCCGGGGATCGAGGGCCTGCCGGATGAGGGCAGCATCGGAGTTGTTACTGGGGGGTCCACTGTTTGTTGAGTAGTTGGTGATGAAGATACCCGAGGGCTCCCATTACCTGTGTGCCATGGGTTATCCGTCAATGAGGCAACTCCCCGGGGGCTACCCGGTTTTGCAGTGCCGAGGGGGAATCCCCGAGGGGTGCCCTGATATGAAGCCTTGGGTTCTGAAGGAGTGATCCCGAAGGCATCTGCTATGTGCTGTGTGGGGCACAAACCGGGGGCGTCTCTGGGTAAGTGTACCCGGAGGCTCTCCTTGATGTAGCGGAGTGGAATAGAAAACCCGGAGGCTTCCAGAATATAGCCGTTGGGAATATAGCCGTTGGAATATGTAGCGTCAGATTTATAGCCGTTGGGGGGGGGGTACACGTGGAGTGTAGCCGTTGGCTGCTCGTGGGCGGGCGTCACCGGTTGGGTGAAACGACGGTGCGTAATGATGATGTTTGGCCGGAGGCCCAGTTTTTGGGCCCAAATCCGGACTTCGGAGTCTATAAATACCCCAAGCCAAGGCCATTTATTCTTTACGCATCCAACATCCCTAGCGAAGCTCTGCAAAAAATTCTAGAGAGAGAAACTCAGTCCCTCGGCAAAAACTCAGCTTTCAAGGTCAGTGTCCCTTCGTTCCTCACCGCTTTTCGTTAGCTTTTACTCCCTGGCCTTAGGTTAGGTGTTATAGCCTTGTAGAGAACCCTCGATTTAGGAATCTTAGCCTAAGTACGCCAAGGATGTCGTCCCAAAGCGACTCGCAGAATGACTTGAGGGAGCCCTCGGTTGAGGACGAGGTTGCTTTCGATGTTGAGTCAAGTAGCAGTGCGCCCTCGGTTGCTGATGACGAAGCTGTAGCCTTGGAGTTGCAGAAGACCCTCGCTGCTGAAGTGGAAGCTGAGGGCTTCGAACAGGAGTACGAAGACGAAGAATTAGCCCTCGTGTATCAGATGGCGGAGGACGAAGCCCAAAAAGAGGCGATGACCGTTACTATTGCTGTGCCACCCCCTCAGACTGACTGTGGTGAGCCTAGTACCTCCAGGCCGCTGGACCCGACGCCTCTGAGAATAGCCCCCGGTAAAAAGAAGATGAAGTCGCAGAGGGCTGCCCCCAAGAAGAAAGGTGTTGCCGTTGGTGCTGGGGGGCCTGTTGAAATGCCAGAGGGGTATACCTGGCTAAACACCGAGGCCCTCGATATCAAGTCGAAGGCGGACAGGGCTGACTTGTACGTCACGCAGCTGCACGTTGGGCCCTCGGCAGTAGTGGTGGAGCCAGGCGTCGATGATCTGCTGTCCCAGCCACCCGAGGGTTGCATTGTCGTCCACATCCTGTCGGTGTCAATGGGCCTCTGGTTCCCCCTGCACCCATTTCTCCGGGACTACCTCCGGTTTGTAGGACTCATCCCCTGCCAACTTACCCCCAATAGCCATTCATACATTGCTGGCTTTCTGCACCTGTGCCGGACGAGGGATGTTACCCCAAGCTTGGACCTCTTCTTCCAAAGTTTCAACTTGTGCCGAGGGGGGCACGCGAATGCCGAGGGCTTCGCCAACTTGCAGCAGGTAGCGAAGTTCAAGCTGTTTACCGAGGCGCCCTCGTCCAACAAGGGCTGGAAAGATAGATGGTGCTACGTCCGGTTGGCCGAGAATCCCTTCCCGAGGGAGCTACGGGACCGCTTTCGGCGCCACGAGAGGGTGGGGAGTGCCGCCCTAGAGAAGGATGGCCTGAAACTCGCCAAGATCCCGGAGGGCAAGAAGAAGGTCGTGATGATCAAAGAATGCACTTTAGAGGAAGACTTGCATGCCCTCGGGTTCCAATGGTACCGGTTCATCGGGGAAACAGACGAGAAGTACCCCGTCTTCGCTGAGGCCTTCGGGGGAGCAGGAGGTAGTCTACGAGGGCACTTAGTCTCATACTTAGGCACTTTCATTTTGCATCCCGATAGTTGTTTGTGCTATGAACCCTTCGGGTTAATATTCTCTTTGCTTTGTTTTGCAGGTATGGAGGCTCTCTTCGCAATGAAAAAGAAGAAGGAGAGGGCGCAGGCCCAGAAGAAGGAGAAGAAGGAGCCCTCGGGTCAAAAGCCCATTGATGAGGTTTTCCCGAAGGAGACCGCGGAGCCTTCAGTTGCTGTTGCTCCTGCTACTGCGGCCGGGGGGCCGAAGGCCGATGTGGCAGTCAAGAAGAAAAAGGGAGGCAAGGGGGTGGAGCCCCCGATCAAGAAGCAGAAGGTTGCCGGGGGCGCCGTTGAGAAGGCGGCCCCCCTCATAGTAATCGATGATCAGCCCTCTGCTGACCCCCCGGCCATTGATACTTCGATGGCTCAAACAGACCTTCCCCCGGGGAACCTGCCTCGGGAGATTATTCAGCTATCCCTCACCCCGGGGGCATCTGTATTGCACGGTTCAGCCGAGCCGATGTCTTTCCTGAGGGGGATTACCTCGATGATGGACAAAGAAGCCCTCTCCACCTATGACGATGACGCCCTCGAAGCCAAGGCCCTTCGATCAGCTCTGACTGTAAGTGTTTTCACTTTGACTTTATTTTAACACTTAGCATAATCCCAATGCCCGTCTGAACCCCCTGTCCGTTATTCAACAGGCGTGTATAACCTTCGGTGAGCAGGCCCGAAGGCGAGAGGAGTGGTGTCGTCATAAGGCTGAGCTAGAGAAGTCCGTGAAGGAGCTGATCCACGACAAGGACGCTGCCCTCCGGGAGGTGTGCAAGTTGGAGGACGCCCTTCGGCAAGCGGAGCTGCGGCTGAAGGAGGCCAGAGATGACGGGAAGGCCGAGGGCAGGGCTGAGGCCGAGAGGGTTGCGGCCGAGGAGAGAAAGCAAGCGGCCGAGGACGCCGAGAAGGCCAAGGCTGAAGCTACTGCCAAAGCCCGAGAAGAGGCCATTGCTGGGTTCACCTCCGAGGGCTGGAAGGCCGAGGGCCAGAGCGAGTGGGTGGCCTCTGTGGTGAAGGCCTCGATCGAGGAGTGGGTGAGGGGCCCCGGGCTCGACTGGATGAATGAGAGGGGTGACACCTACTATCAAGCTGGCGAGTTCTTCACCCAGCACCTGGTTTACCGGAGGCTCGCCCGGCATTTTGGCACCTCCCAGGATGAGTTCAACCCCTCAATGTATGGCCTCCCCCCGTTGCAGCCAGACGTGAGGGTCCCCCTCCCCGAGGGAGAAGAGCGCCCGGTGATTCATGATTCCATGATGATGGGCGTCGATGATGATGCCGAGGACGCCACCGGGACGGAGGTTACCTCGAAGCCATCGGGGGAGGCGGCCCCCGGGAATGATGTTGTTGACATGTAATATGTATTTTGAACACTTCTGTAATAGCCACATTAGCATGTTTTCGGCCTCGGCCAACATTGTAATAACTACATTTACTCCTTGCTGTGATGAATGGATGATTGCCTTCGGGCTCTGTATATATGACTTGTTTTCTCCAATTCCTTTCTTCTTGAATGTATGCCTCCGGTATTTTTGAATGTATGTCTAGGACTTAGAACATTTTCTGATTGTAGCTTGCCCTTGGAAGCCTTCGGTAGTTGGGCACCCTCTGCTGGATATGCAACCGAGGGTTCAGCAGTAATTAGGACTTAGGAAATTTTTCTAAGTGTAGCACACCATAGGGCCTTCGGGTGTTTGTAGTAACCCAATTCCTAGGACTTAGAAAAATTTCTAAGTGTAGATTTTCCCTTGAGAGCCTTCGGGATATGGCATCCCTTCCTGGTGTGTGAATGTTGGACCGAGGGCCCAAGGTACAGGACTTAGAAATTTTTTGCAAGTGTAGTATGTCACGTAGCCTTCGGCTACTGTGGAGCCCCAACTAAAATATTGAATAGGCCGGGGGGCAATTCCTTAGGACTTAGAAAATTTTCTTGAGTGTTGATTCCTTGTGTACTGTAGCCTTCGATTGATAGGTAGCCTTCGGCTGTTGGGTCCCTTTATGAGTTGAGGGTGAAATATGTAGGACTTAGAAAGATTTCTAAGTGCAGTTTTTCCCTTGGTAGCCTTCGGGAGATGGCATCCCTTCTTGATGTATGAGTAGTTGACCGGGGGAAAACATGTAGGACTTTGAAAATATTCTAAGTGTAGATTTTCCCTTGGGAGCCTTCGGGAGATGGCATCCCTTCATGATGTATGAGTAGTTGACCGGGGGAAAAACATGTAGGACTTAGAAAATATTCTAAGTGTAGATTTTCCCTTGGGAGCCTTCGGGAGATGGCATCCCTTCTTGATGTATGAGTCTCTGGCCGAGGGCCAAATATGTGTGGAATCCTGTTGTTGTGAAGAAAGCCAATGATGAGTGTGTGCCCTCGGCATACACTTTAAAAGTTGTAGATTTTGACCCTTGCTGAAGCCTTCGGTGCTTGTGTGACCGGAGGTGACCAGGCAGTGGACTTAGCCGTTTCCTGATGATATTTGTTTGAGTAGTATCCTTCGGGAAATAGGAGCCTTCAATTACCGGAGGTGTCCCCGTGGGGAGCCCTCGGGATGTTGTGATCTGTTGGAGTGTACTCTTTGATTTCTCGCTGAGTCTACTCCCCTTCACCCCCTTTTTTTTTGGTTGGTGGTGAAGGGAAGGCATCAAGAAACTTGGTTTCTTGGTAAGGCTGGGCCTATTAGGAGACCATCAGAATACACCAATGGCTCTCCTCCCTCGGGTTAACCTTCCGAGTTCCGAGGGGATCGAGGGTCGTTTCCTGGGCACAAGATATGGTGGTCTGTAACCTGCCTCCCCTTGGGGGATGGCGCGGAAAGCGCCTCATTTTTGAAAGTCGTCCCCTCGGCGCTAGACATAGTCCGTGGCCTGCCACACCCTTGGGGTGGTGGCGCGGGGAGCGTTTCGGTTTGGAAGTCGAATCCTAGGCATCTCTCATGCCTGTCATACCCTGGGGGTAGTGACGTGGATAGCGTTCCGTTTTTGAAAGTCGAATCCTGTGCATTTCTCATGCCTGTCATACCCTGGGGGTAGTGACGCGGAAAGCGTTTCAAGGAAGGGTTTTCATTTTCACACTAGTTGCAAATGGTCGGGGGCACTACGTGCCGCCGGCACCGATGGTGGCGCCTTCGGTATATGCGTCCTCGTGGGGTACGGCTTTTAGAAACAACATTTGGTGTTAGTTTCGATGTGTAGCCCTCGGTACTTGGTACCGAGGGGTCTTCTGTAGGAACACTTGGTGTTCTCTTTTGTCGTAGTTGATGTAGGCGTCTACCCTCGGTACTTGGTACCGAAGGGTCTTCAAATGAAACACTTGGTGTTTCCCAACAGATGTTTGGAAGTTGATAGGAGAGCATATCCCTGACACTGGGTGCCGAGGGGTCTTCTTTGAAACATTTGGTGTTTTTTCTTTTCTTTTTTGATGCTGAAGGTGGAGAAGTGTACCCCCGGCACTGGGTGCTGAAGGGTCTTCTGTAGGAACACTTGGTGTTCTCATCCTTTCTTTTTTGGCGTTGAAGGTGGGGATGTACCCTCGGTACTTGGTACCGAGGGGTCTTGACTGAAAACACGTGGTGTTTTCATTGTTGTTGTAGGTGTTGATGGTGTCCACCCTCGGCACTTGGTGCCGGAGGGGGTTCTTCTTGTGGCGAGGCCGGGGGCTTGTAGTCAGTATGAGGGCTTGATGTCTTGAATGTATCTTCATTCTTCGAAATTGGAGGCCTTGGGCCATAGGATAGTACATTCACTAGTTATGAGGGCTTGGCCGCTCTTACATTATTGATAAAATTTAACTAAGTGGTGTACATTCCAGTGCCTAGGGACTTCTTTCCCGTTGGGGCGTTTGAGCTTGTAGGTCCCAGGTTTGATGATGGCTGCTATGATGTAGGGGCCTTCGAATTTTGGTGCCATTTTTCCTCCCTCGGTTGGTTGGCTGGCTTCCCTCCTCCGGAGGACATAGTCCCCCACTTGGAATTCTCTGGCGCGAACTTTGGCGTTGATGTAGCTTTTGACTTGCCTTCGGTAATTTTCTGCCCGGATGAAGGCCTACTCCCGGCGTTCTGAAATGAAGTGGAGGTCGAGGGCCATGTTGCTGTCGTTGACCTCGGGGTCGTATTGGATCACCCTTCGGGTGGGAAGGGTGACTTCCGTAGGAGCTTTGGCTTCAAAACCGTAGCAGAGGGAGAAGGGTGTTTCACCTGTTGCTCGCCGAGGGTGGTGCGGTAGGCCCAAAGGATGTTGTGGAGTTCTTCCACCCAGCCACCGCCCTCGGCCTCCAGCTTCTTTTTGAGGCCCTCGAGCAAGGTCCGGTTGGCATTCTCTACTTGCCCGTTGCCTTGAGGGTATGCAACGGAGGAGAAGGTGTGCTTGATGCCCCATGCCTCCAGAAGGGCACAGAAGGGGGCTGCCTCAAACTGTGTCCCATTGTCGGAGATAATCTGCTGAGGGACGCCAAACCTTGTGAGGATGTTCTTGAGGACAAAATGACGGCACTTCGCCTCTGTGATACTAGCGAGTGGCTCAGCCTCCACCCATTTGGTAAAGTAGTCGATGGCCACAATGATGTACCTGTTGTTGGAGGTACCCCTCGGCAGAGGGCCCACAAGGTCTATCCCCCATCGAGAAAAAGGGACAGATGTGCTGATGGGGGCATAGTTGACCGCTGGCCTGCCGGGGGCTTTCTGGAAATGTTGACATGCGGTGCACCTCCGGGCAAGGTCAGCACAATCTCTGGCCATGGTTGGCCAGAAGTAGCCCTGGAGAATGAGCCTTCGGGACATGGAGAAGGGTCCCTGGTGAGCTGAGCAAGTGCCACTGTGCACTTCCTCCATTGCGACCTCGGCTTCATCTTGATGAAGGCACCGAAGTAGTGTGCCGTTGTAAGATCGTTTGTAGAGCCTTCCATCTTCGAAGGCGTAGCTGGGAGCCCTCAGCTTTGCCAGTTTAGCGCGGGTTTCATTCTCGGGTAGCTGCCCTGTGGAGATGAAGGCGGTGATATCTGAGATCTAATCCTCTTGGCGTTGTTGTATGTTCATAACGGGGCTCGCATGGATACTTGAGAGACTGAGTTCCTCAATTTTGGCAATTTTGGAGATGTGCTCGGGGGAGTCGGCCGAGAGCTTAGACAATATGTCGGCCTCGGAGTTCTGAGCCCTCGGTATTTGAGTGAGGGAGTGAGCCTCAAATACCTTAAGCAACTCCTTGGCCGCCTCCTTGTACTGTTTCATTCTTCCCTCCTTGGCCTCATATTCCTCGGAGATTTGGCCAACGACCAACTTGGAGTCGCATTTGATGTGGATCTGCCAAGCCCTCATGTTGGCAGCCACCCGAAGGCCACATAGGAGGGCCTCATATTCGGCCTCGTTGTTGGAGACTTTGAAGGAGAAGCGGATTGCGTAGTAGGCTTTGAAGCCCTCGGGAGTAATGAGGACTACCCCTCCCCCGCACGCTTTGGTCGCGGAGGAGCCGTCAGTGTAGAGGGTCCACCAATCATCCGAGGCAACCGAGGGCTCCCCGTCCGTGGCTGCCCTTGCGGTACACTCCGTCACAAAGTCCGCCAGGGCTTGGCCCTTGATGGCGGGCCTTGGGCGGATGTCAATGTTGTACTGGCTTAAGAAGATAGCCCATTTCACCATGCGGGAGGAGCTGGTGGGGCTCCTCATGAGGGCGCCGAGGGGTTGATGAGTGAGGACCTGAACCGGGTGAGCTTGAAAGTAGTGGCCCAACTTCTTGACAGTCCAAACGATGGCTAACACCGTTTTTTCCACAGGGGAGTACCTGAGCTCGGCCTCCCTTAGGGTCTTGCTAACGTAGAAGATGGCATGTTGGATGTCGTCTTCCTCCCGGATGAGCACAGAGCTGATGGCCGCCAGGCTGACCCCAAGGTAGAGATAGAGGGTCTCCCCTACCTTTGGTTTTGAGAGCACAGGGGGTGAAGATAGATACCGCTTGAGTACGTCGAAAGCCCCCTGGCATTCCGGAGTCCATAGAAAGCCAGCCGTCTTCCTCATGATCTGGAAGAAGGGTAGAGACTTCTCCGCTGATTTAGATAGAAAGCGGTTGAGGGCTGCCAGGCGGCCCGTCAACCGTTGAACTTCCTTCACATTGCGTGGGGGCTCCATGTCGATGATGGCCTAGATTTTCTCGGGATTGGCCTCAATACCCCTTCGGCTCACCATGTAGCCCAAGAACTTGCCCCCTTGGACGCCGAAGGTGCACTTCTTCGGGTTTAGCCGAAGGTTGAACTTTTGCATGATGGCGAAGATTTCCCGGAGGTCGTCAGCATGGCTGGAAGATTGCTTGCTTTTGACGATCATGTCGTCCACATAGGCCTCCATGGTGCGCCCTAGGAC